AGCCCCAGGACTTGAACTATGGGAAACCTAGGCACAGTTGCCATCAATCACCAAAACAGACAAGGGGTTTCTGTTTCATGTGCTCACTCCGACCATGACACTTTGGCCCACGAGTGGCAAGGACATGGTGCTTGCATTTCAGTGGCTCTCAGGGGTCCCTTACTGACCCCACCTGCTCCTAACCCAGGGGAAACAACCACTCCCAGAAATGCCAGCAGACTTAAATGGGCCACTCAGCAGCCTGCAGAGGTGACCCACCTGACCGTTCACACTAGGTCCACCCACCAGCAGTCTCAACCTTGGCCTTGAGGCCTGTCTCCAGGCGTCAGGGTCTGCCCCTACCCGCTCCCCTTGCCCTCCTGCCTTGGCTGAACACAGGCTTTATCTACAGGGGAGGGACGAAAACGAGATCCTCACAGCGACTCAATTACGCCTCCATCGGAAAGTCTAACACAATCAATTCGGGGAGCCGGCCGACATCATAACACAGTAATTAGGAACAACTTCCAACCCAGGGCTTCCTTTGAAGATTGTAATTGCAATTAATTAAACATCCTCACGGCTCCTCAGAATCTGCTCCTGAGGAAACCTGGAGAGGTGGGTCCCACTTCTATTCCTAGCAGCCTGGGAAGCAAAGAATGGACCAGTCTCCTTTTAATATAGCAAGGCATGGAGTCACCTAGAGCCGCTGTTAGGGGAACAGGACCCGGCCGGCCTCTTGACTCTGCTTGTGTACCCTGGACACCTCCCTCCCTCCCTTTTCTGCCATTCCCAGAATGGAAGGGGCCCCAGGCTGCCCTGCCTTGGCTCTGAAAGGTGATTATCCCAGATCATAGGCTGCTCAGGGCACCTGCTGTGTGCAGTTCTGCCATGTGCACACCTGGCCAGAGATCCTACCACCGCGGGGTGGTGTTTCACCCAGGAGTCAGATCCCCTATTAGGTGGATACATCCTGAGGCTGAGACAGATAAACCGTAGGCAACTCAGGCTCCCAGGAGGGCAAAGGGCCCTGGGAAACACTGCTACACTTGGGGCAGAGGACTGACTAGCCCTTAAGATAGGGGAACATACAAGGAGCAGCTTAGAAACGCCAGTGTGGGTGTTCCCTCAGCACCTAGCTCCTTGTAAGGTGGAGGTGAAGTGCCACCATTCAAGGCCAAGCTCTATGACCCTAGAAGAGACACTTCCCCAACTTCTGAAGATAATTTGAAGGCTTGTTTGGCTTTTGCGGTGTTTGCTTGCTTGCTTGCTTGCTTGCTCGCTCAAGACATGGTATGCAGGTACTATGCTTGCCTGGAGCTCACTATGTAGACCAGGCTAACCTTGTACTCAAAGAATTCAGCCACTTCTGCCTTTTAAGCACTAGAATTTAAGGCATGTGCACTATACCTGACCTTGTTTGAGGCCTTATGATGCTTTGCCAACTTGGTATAGCCTAGAATCACCTGAGGTAAAAGAAAGAGGTTGCCTACATTGGATTGGCCTGTGGCTTGTCTGGTATGTGGGAGGGTTGCCTGAATTTAATTCACTGATGTGGGAAGATCCAGCCTGCTGTAGGCAGCTCCATTCCCTAGGCAGGGGACCTGACTCTGACTATGCAATAGTGAAGGACTGAGCTGAGCACAAACAAGCAGGTCTTTCTGCTCTTGACTGTGGGTATGATGTGACTGGTTATTTCAAGTTCCCGCCTTGACTCCCCACAATGATGGACTGCAACCCAGAACTGTTCATTGAATAAATCCTTTCTCCCCTAAGTTGCTTTTTGTCAGAATGTCACCACCGCGGCAGAAAGGAAACTAGGACATGCCTCGTATATTTATGATCCAGACGTCAGGAGACTTGGAAGGCAGACAGCTGGAGGCAGCATCGGCGCTAGAGAGGAGGGGCCAGGAGTCCCAGAAGATGAAACCCAAGGAAAGTCATGCCAGTGGCCAAAGCAAAAACAGCACTGTGAGTGCTGCCCCTGGCGGCTGACAGCATTGTGGGTGCTCCCCCTGTGTAATGAGGGGCCACAGGGGAAGCAGAGGCCAGGAAGGACTGACTGCCCAGGACATCCCACCTCCGTCTGAGAGCTCCTCGAGCCTGAAGCTACCTTCACAGCCTCAACACCACCTAGCACACATAGGTGTGTGGCCAGACTGTCCACAAACTGCAGAGACCCCAGTCCGCAGCTCTTTAAGACAGCATGCTCCCTGTGGGTACAGTGGAACATGGGAGATTCAGCAGGAGCTGGCCATGGAGTCACACCCTTGAACTTCTTGCCTGTGGCTCAGCTCTCATCACCCTTTCCAATCTCCCCCACTATGGATGCCTCTAGAGAGGCAGGGATTAAGCGCTGGACTTCCTGTCCCAGGATCATAACTCTGTGGCATACCCAATATGTCCCTGTCTTCCTGACTCAGGTAATAGAGACTAGTGTCAACAGATGTGTGGCACTTCCTGGGGCATGGGAACACATTCACCACGGGCCACATTTGAGCCCCTGGGTCTTCTACACGTCTGTTCTTTCTGAAACAGCTTGTGGAAGCCTGCGGCCCATGGCCGTGGTGACGGTGAAGGTGGATGCTGTGTCAGATGAGCTAGCCCAGAGAGGAAGCAATCTGAGGGCACAACCAGCAAACCGGAAGACAGGGCTTCTATGACAACACTGAGTCCGGGGAGCAAACCTTTCCTGAAGCCGATGTTTCTGGCTATTTCAGTTACCTGATCACCCCAATCCTTCCTGTGGTTGAAGCCCACCTGAGATCAGCCTGACAGAACTCCTGGGGGAGGGGCTTTGATCCTTGCTGCCACTCCCTGGGACTGCCTGGCCTTTACCTACACTGTCCCCTCTGCCTTAGGCACCCTTCCCTATCCACAGGGCACCTTCCTCCTCACCCTTCGTCATAAGCGAAAGTGCCACCCCTTCCCAGAGGCTTTGACATCCTGCTGGAAATAGTTCGTACCATTATTGCTCACATCACTCCTGCATCTCCTTGTGATGTTTAATTTCCTGTTTTGATAACTCACTGGGGGGAGGGGGGGTCTTGGTGCCCTATATTCTCGGATTGGCTCAAGGCTCTGTCTCTGAGCTCTTAACCACATGACTTTGAAAACTATTTTGAAAATCAATTTCCAGAAAAGCGAGGTTAAAAACATAAAAAGCCCAACCCCCACATTTTCGTTATTATAACATAGTCATAAAATGACTTCACGGATGCTATGAGAGAGGAGGCGTGTGCTCCATTCCCCCACAGGGCAAGCTGACCTGCGGGACTTACTGGCCTAGAGGACTCCTCATAAGGACAGAGAGGCAGTGATTAAGTGCTTGACTTCCTGTCCCTGGGAGAATGGCTCTGCGTGGGAGCCAGAGGGCACTGGCCTCCAGTTGCCTACAGTATAAACTGCTTATATCTGGCCCCCTTCCCTACCCAATTGGTTTCCTGGATGCCCTGTCTGTGTTCGGAGGGTGACCTCCAAATCTAGATGCTGTCTTTAAAGAGCCTAAACAGATAGTATACCATATGGACAGACAGACACTAGTGCAGAGTCAAGACGGGTGTGGCCCGATTAGGAATCTAATGCCGGGGAGTGTTACAATGATGCCATCAGACGTCTCTATAGCATTGAAGAGATGCCCAAGTAGAGAAGAAGCCTAGAGCAGAGACTGCAGTTGAGGCCAGTGCAGTGGAGGGGAGGAAGGAAAAGACTGCCTCCTCCATAGCCCCAAGCTGTCTCTGGTACTGCGCCTCCTCCTCCCCCTTCTCCTCCTGCTGCCCCTGTTTCTCCTCCTCATCCCCCAAAGTGAACATTCCGTCTAAGTTGTTCTGCCAGCACTTGGGAATTTTTTTTTCTCCTCAGCGCTGGGAAATTATAAATAACTCCTGGATTAGAAGAAACAAACAAAAACTGAACCAAAATCTGAGTCCAGATGCTCTTGCGTGGGAACGGGCCTGCAGCCCACCAGCCCTCTTGTACACCAGGAACCCAAAGTCTCCCAGGCAAGAGAAAGACTGGTCATTTCACTAAAGGCCACTCGGCCTTGCTGCTTGATGTCCCACGATTTAGAGAAGCCTCCAGGGCTAGGCAATCCTTCCCTGCAGCCCACTAACTGTTGACGCAGACTCCTCCCTGGAATTTGCAACCTAGAAAGGGACAAGTTGGAAGCCCTGGTCACATGTGCCACATCCAGGAAAGTCTCTCAGATTTTCAAGGGACACATCGACAACACGCTCTGGGAGGGGACCGAGAGGAAGACAGGCTGGAGACTGTCAGAACTCCTTCCTGACACTGCCTCTCACATGCTCTCCGTGCATACACTCTATCCCTGTGCATCTCTAGCGGCTGTCATGGAAACCAGCAACGCTGTGGCACTTGGAGTGAGGTAAAGGGCAGTCAACATCCAGCTACTCCTTGGAGGCCAGGCTGTCCTCACCTTCCTTTCTGCCAGGTGAGATCATAACTTCCCATCCTGATGCTGCGTGAGAGAGCCAACACTGGGGTGGAAGGCCTGACTTCCCACCTTCCCCGACCCTTCTCCTTCTCACAGCCTGCCTGGGTCTCCTTTTCCATCTGGTTCACAGACTCGCTAGGTGATGGAGTTCGTGCAGGCATTGTGTCCCGCGCCCCTTCCCGGGCTTCTCTGGCGCACGGTGCAGGGCGATGCGGAACGAGGGGACAGGAGAGGCAAAGGCTTTATTCGGTGTCGCGACCCAGGGCGCGCCAAGCAGGACGGCCCGCTTCGGGCGGGAAGGCAGCGGTCGCAGGTGCCAGCAGCACCAAGCCATGAGGCCGACCCGCACCCGCATAACTCAGCGCCAGGCGCTCCAGGCGTCGCTTGCGCTCGGCCGCCTGCGCCGTGGCGTGCAGGGGTTGCAGCAGCGCAGGGGGTGGCGCGCCGGGGCCGCGCAGCAGGAAATCGAAGCCCGCGCGGTCCCGCGGATCGTAGAAGAGCGGCCCGGTGGCCGGGTCGGGCCCCGGTGGCCAGGCGAACGGAAAGGGCAGCGTGAAGTCCTCTGTGAGCACGCGGATGGCGAAGTCGTCCTCCTTGCCCAGCGCTCGGTAGGCGCTCCGGATGCCGCGGAAATGCGCCTCCCAGAGCTGCGCGTCGCCGCCATAGATGTCGGGGAAGCGCGGTGCAGGAGGCGCAGCGGGACCTGCGACAGGCGCAACAGTCAGCGGCGGGGGGGGGGGGGGGGGGGGG